CAGTGCCACAAATATAAACGCTGCCATGCCAGGGACTTTTAAAACTTCTTTACTAAACTCTCAACTGAAAGAATAAATCAGAGTTTGACACATGTTATATTTATTTTTCGATAAAATAATACCTGATGTCAAGGATATTCGTGCGAGTTAATTAAGGAAAGATTGAAAATAATTAGAAAAAATGTCTTATTTTATCAAGACATGATTCCTGACCAGAAATAGGCATCCGTCACACCCAAATAAGAATGTTTAGCGAATAAAATCATGCAATATACGAGCCAAATAGCTATCGGACCACTGATAATTCCATTATAGTACAGAGTTGAAATACCAGGTTAAGCAAACGATTGAAGTTTCATTCAAGTAGAACGTTAGGATAACAAAATTTTTCTATTAATTCTTCATGCCTTACAGTACACTGAACATTTGTGTGGACTCTTCTCTTCCTTGGTACCTGAGATATAATTATCTATTCCTCAATTATTAATAAACTTCAGAGTGGAGCAAAGTCTAAATCAAATATGAAAACGCGCAACGTCAGGCGCACATTCAAGATTTCAAATACCACAACGAGCTTCTCGTCACTAGCTCTCCCAGTAAATTTTTATTCCCTCACTGGATCGTAATAATGAAACTTAAAATTAAGTCGTAGGCGGCGCCCCTTGGAACACCGCGCGTTCATTGTCATGCCTGCCGAGCGTGAGGATTTCTAAGAAATTCTTCGGCTGAAAAAGTTACTTTCTTCAGCAAAGTTTGCTGATCCAATTTGTTGGAAGCCGTAAAAGTTAAGGCTTAATAGCCCGTTATTTAGCAAACCATGAATCGGCAACCAAGAATAAGAACTTCTAAAGTCCACCGCAATTTCGCGTACTCTGAAATTAATGGATGAGTATGTCCCAAAGTTTGACTCTATTGAGCTTAATCGCGTGCTAGTGAACTGCCAACATTTGTGGTTACAGTTTTAGATGTTTATATGAGCCTTATAGTCTACAGAGATTCTGGTTTCATGAATCATGAAGCCAAACGATTCAATTTCATGGATAATTATTAGTCTTTCAGTCTAATTTTAAGCTGCCTATCTTTGGAACGATTACCTCATTTTCTTTATCTATAAATGTTTGACCTGATATTAAAAATTTATCTTTATTCTGATTTAGTTTGCGCCAGAATGAGCAGCTATATAGTAATTGCATCCGACAGGCGTCCCGCAAAACGCAGCATAGCATAGCATTGCAAAACATAGCGTAACATAGTAAGACATAGCATAGCGCAGCATAGCATAGCATTGCAAAACATAGCGTAACATAGTAAGACATAGCATAGCGCAGCATAGCATAGCATTGCAAAACATAGCGTAACATAGTAAGACATAGCATAGCGCAGCATAGCATAGCATTGCAAAACATAGCGTAACATAGTAAGACATAGCATAGCGCAGCATAGCATAGCATTGCAAAACATAGCGTAACATAGTAAGACATAGCATAGCGCAGCATAGCATAGCACAGCAAAGCATAGCGTAACACAGTATAACATAGCATAGCATTTCATATAGCGTAGCACAATATATCAAAGTGTACTACCGTCAAGTATATAGTAAATAAGTTTCTGATATTAAGATCAGGGGCCGTATTATCAAAACTTCGTAAGTACGCAAAATCGACTTACGAGAGGCGTAAGTGCTGACTTGATGACGTAGCTCTAGAGGTGGTATTATCAAAACATTTGCGCGGGAAGATAAGTAACGTAACTGTACGCCTGCTCGGAGATGTCGTAAGTGGAGTTCCGCACAAGTTTAGAGTGTCTGCTTGAAGCGATAGGAAACTATTGATTTACTAGCAAGTAGCAACACCTTGATTTGTGATAGAATTTTGTCATTAATCCGACAGCGCGGATTATACACGCATAGAATGATGGCTCTACTTGTGATGGCTCCACTACTTGATCGTGCAACATTTGCACGATCAAAATATGTGATCGTGCTAAACAGTGCTATTGGAAAAAAATTCAATTCATTTTTTCAAAAAATTTTTCATTTATTTTCAAAAATTCAATTCATTCATTCCTTCTAGTCGGTACTTTATATCTTTGCCAACCATAATTTTTAGCTCCGTACACAGATTTCTTCTTCAACTCACGCTGTTAATTAAAAAGAGTTCACAACTATTTTAGAACGGCTTTTTCTGGGCCAACAAGGAGCAATACCGACAGACAGCATTCGATAGTAGATACCATCGAAGGCATCGATTCCCGCCATCGAAGTTCTCAGAATGTAAACAAATCCCAAGCCTCTGATTGGTCAGTTGGCCAGATGGTTTTGATAGTACGCTTTTAGCTAAGTCTTACGTACGAATGTTTTGATAATGCCAAAATTAGGGTATACCTACGTAACACGTAACTTTTTTGTCGGAAGTACGAAAAGTTACGAAGTTTTGATAATACGGCTCCAGGCCAAGTGAGGCCTGTCGCCGATTCTTGTAAATTCAACCCTTATTCCACAGTTGCATGCATCCAGATTCTGTTCCGATAACTTAACTAGAAAAATATTCAAAATCTTTTTAAACAAATTGGCAATTTCATGCTGTTCACCTGCCGTTTCATTCATCGTGAATTTTATCCACAGAAAATTGGATATTCTCGGAATCGAGGCTACAATATCACTCACGAGTTATTCAAGTATTACTATCGATGAAACTCTTATTAAAAACGATGTGAATATTTCAGGAAAATATTTTCCCCCCAAAAAAGCTTGTGAGGTTCAGATATATTTCCTTGTTTGTTCTTCTTTCGATAAAATAATTTATTGTTTAGCTTACCAAGCTTTATCTTCCTCGGTGAAAATTTCCGTCCGTCAGATTTAAGCGAATTTCAGGGGATTAGATCCAATCAGGGTCTGGAATTGATCCCATTCATTCCTCATGTTGATGCAAATGAGGGATCCGGAGAATTCTGTGGAAGATTTTTCTCAATTACCGTACGTGGTCATCAAGCACGTAAGGCGAGTAGTGCAGGCTCCAAATGCTTTAGATTTGATTTTTTCAGAGATTTGCATAAAGACGAAGTGAGCATTGCTTCCTAGTGAGAAGGAAGATAATTTCCTTTCAATCCTTCAATAAATGAATTGAATAAACCACATAACAAAATTCTAAAAATTTTCCAGAAATCATAAAAAGTTTCCATGCATTCACCGAATGTTTCCATTGGAAAATTAAAAGTTTTCCATGCATTCACTCGCAAATTTGCCTGACATCTGCCGTGTGCGTTACTTTTCGTGCCCCGTACATGACTTTCTTGCGCTCGTAAATTGCCCGCAGGTTTCCATCTTCCGGCCTGGGCAGGGGACGACGTCTCCTATAAATCATTTAAATCATTGTAAATTTGATACGGCGCCCCTCCACCTCCACCTATCCTCCCCCTCGGTAGTGCCCACTGTACTCACCAGATACGTATGAATTGACCACAAGAGATAATTTTGCTATATTTTATTCCCGTTTACAATGATTGTAAAACTTAATACGAAATGTTTAATGCTTATTTCGAGTGCTGCGGATGTTCAGTGTATGTATGATATGGGAAATTCTACTGTGCAAGATATACTGATAGATTATTTGATGTCTCATTGGTCATTTATATTCTTTTACTCGTGGAAATTGGAATCATATTAAATATTTATTTTTATATAAGCCTTTTAAATAAACGAAAAAAAAACGGAACAAGAAAATACTGTTTGTAAAATCGTTTACAATATCATTTAGCACGTGTATTTTAAAAATGTATGGTTTCCATAGAAATCTTCAATTATGCTTTAAAGACAGCAACTTTACATCTGACATTTGTAGCGCTTTTTCTAGGGTGAATGCTCATGTGATTACACATCCATTCAATTATTAACAAAAGATATAAATGAATGATTGTTAAATAAAGTTTCCGCGGATGATTACAATTTATGTCGCAGACACGATACACTGAGCTGATCCTGCGACCTCTGGCAGAGTGACCGGGGTGGTGGCACAAGCTTGAGTAGCCCGCCTGCGGTGGTAGTGTTGGTACCACGTGGTAACACAAGCCGGAGTAGCCTGCTTGCGGTGGTAGTGTTGGTACCACGTGGTAACACAAGCCGGAGTAGTGGTGGTAGTGTTGGTACTAAGTGATAACACACGCCGGAATAGCCCGCCTGTGGTGGTAGTGTTGGTACTAAGTGATAACACACGCCGGAATAGCCCGCCTGTGGTGGTAGTGTTGGTAACAAGTGATAACACACGCCGGAGTAGCCCGCCTGCGGTGGTAGTGCAGGTACCACGTGGTAACACACGCCGGAGTAGTCCGCCTGCGATGGTAGTGTTGGTACCAAATGATGAACCAGCTGCTAGGAAGAATTCTGCTGTACCTGAATAACGCTTCCCGTAGTACATAGGAACAAGTACGGATTTTCCAGCCTAGAAATTTTTCTCTCGTTGTCGTGTGAGATGATGTGACAAGAAGCTCTGCCTTATATTGATTTTGTGATAAGCCGACATGATTATTCAAATAACCGACGATTCGTTTCCTCAGCTTGAACTGTCTATCGCATGTTGTGTTATCTGGAGATGCCGCCAATTGTACCTCTAAATAATGAAGCTCAACATTATCCTCGAAAGATCTACACAATTAATCCACTGTAAACTATTGATCATCTTCCACTTGTCTGGTCAGGCAGAAGTGATGGCTCTGAGTGTTCATGTTGAGGAACAAGGTTACGTTGTAACGCTTACACTACAGAGGTAAATATCCATCAGGATTTATCTGTCTGCGTTATCATTTGTGAGGTAAACCAGATCAAATTTTTCTTGTTTAGACGACCATTTAATCAGTATGAACAATATACTTGCTTTGATGTGGCGACTCTGGCTTATCACAAACACCTGTGTTCCGATTATCAAAGCGTAACTTGTATAATTTCTTGCTATCTAGTTTGATAATCAATTTGATAAATTGCCGCACGAGAGGAAAAATAAGTCATAGAATTGTTCATATTGTGTGAAATGATAACATTTCCAGTTCATGCTACGAACAGTTTTGAATATCAATGTTTTGTAACCTGTCTGATAACATAACTCACTTCGGTCTGAACGCAACTTTTTAAAAATTAAAATTAAATTACGTTCATCTTGTAATAACTACACGATGATGGAAATGATTTCGTTCCTGTGCTCTGAATGGATATAAGATCACATAACTCTCTAAAGGAAGTTTCAAAAATATAAGTTTTTACTTAAAATAAATTTTATTACGAACATTTTCTCCAGCTATCTATGTTGGACTTTTCGTTCTTCAAAAAAGAGCGCGTCGTTCAAGTTAGGTCAAATCAACCAATATGGCTAAAGGTTAAGTCTAACTCTTGACAAAAATATACATTAGTTACAAAAGTTTATTATACTGAAGCCATCGAGGGCACAAAAATAAATCTGTTCATCCAAGTTTAGAAGCAACTCTGAAAATGAGCTTCATTGCAACCTAAGCTAGTATAGAACCATCTATAGTGAAACCAAGATCTGGTTGCGACCCAGACAAGCAAGTTGTCCACAGGTTACACCTTGGCCCTGAAGTATTACGCGGTCGTCTCTTTGAACTGGATTTCCTCAGCAAGAATTTATTTTCCTTTGGTTTTTCACTGCGCGTCGGCTGAGGTACGACATCAGTACCAGTCTTATTCATGGCTGGAATTTGTACAGAGTCGTTACCGAGATGTGTACTGCATAGGCAACTCACCAAGTGATCAACGTAAGGAACTTCGTTGGAAAAACCTGCTATGTTTAAGTAACACTCATCGTCTACTATTGAATCATGTTCCTGCAAGTGGGCGGTGGTGTCACATTTCACATTCGTCGTGCCGTTGTCAGTAGTCGAGTTTCGGGCGTTTGAGTAAACATTCTTATCACTTTTCGTCGAGTTTCTACGTGCACACCCGATTTCTTTGTCGTTGGCCACGTAGCCTTTGACTAGCTTGATGTTTTTCAGATTGTCGTCTGTTGCTGGGAAATAACCTGGAACAAGCAAATCAGTCACTGCGTAGTGAAGCGAGTTTTCTTCTCTCATCCTGGTATCGATGATATCGTTCTTCTTGCAGCCTCTAATATTAGGAAAACAAACGTCGACGTTTTTATAGCAACGGAACGAGCTCACCGGACTATTATTCATGACTTGTCTAGTTGTCGATGCCTTGCAAAAAGATAGAGTTCTCGCAGTTGGAGTCATACCAAGAGTCAAATACCGAGATCGTTCCAGAATTATGTGCTCATTTTTGCACGATTCTACTATATTGATATCTGATGGCGGTGCGAAGCTGACGATTGCGACGTAGTCTGTATTCGCGTGGACGCAGCAGCCGCTCTTGCTTGGCTGCTCACACCAACACTTTGACTTGTTGCCCAGGGTGACGCCACGGGACATGGATGGCGCAGGACCTAAAACGTAAATTTTTGACCAGCTCTCAAAAAATTAGGTATTACTTCAGATTAAGTGCATCCAAAAAAAGGGTGTTTTTTAATTATATGTTTTTTGGGGTGTAGATTAAGAATCAGAAATTCGTTTTTTGCGGTCGGCATCGGAAATTTTTTAATGGAACCTGTTCCTAACTGGGCCTAAACTGCGAGGTTTTCGTTGATCGGCTAGGTTTTTTTTATTACCACGATTTTCTTAGCTCGCTTTCGTGTCCGTCTGTCTGTCTGTCTGTTTGTGATGATCAAATCTTGCAATCGATATTTCACCAACTTTCCCGCTAGCTAGCGCTCTGAAACTTTTAGGGAAGCTTCTCAAATCAGATATATCAGCAATACACTTATCAAATGTTCAATGAACCATCATATTCATCATATCAAGTAATCACCAAACAATTAAATACATATGCGCCCCACGTTTTTCGTTTAGATGTTGTAAAATATTTTAACTGAAATAGTACAAAAGACCAAGAGAATGAAAGCAAACAGAGATCAGTAGCTGCCGAAAAATTATTTTCTACTCTTTAGTTCACATGAAAAACGTGGTCTTTAAAATTTTTTTTATACATTTCTCTATGTTTGGAGTCCGTCCGGCAGCCGGAAAAACCTAGCCAATAGGTTTTTTCTATGTTTGGAGTCCGTCCGGCGGCCGGAAAAACCTAGCCAATCAACGAAAACCTCGCAGGTTAGGTCCAGTTAGGAACAGGTTCCATTAAAAATTCCCGATGCCGACCGCCAAAAACGGATTCCAGATTCTTAATCTACACCCCAAAAAACTTATAATTAAAAAAACACCCTTTTTTTGGATGCACTTAATCTAAAGTATTACCAAAAATTATATCAACACCTTAGAAATTCTTCGCCATTTTTCCTATATTAACAAGAAAAACTTTGTTACTGTAATGATTATCAAACAATAGTTACAATACAGATTTTTACGATTTTAAATTGTCACTCGCTAACCTAGGGTTATAAAAACTTAGGCCATTGGCCCCAGAGGTTAGTTTCTTTCACTAATTCCCTTGAAAACTTAATCTAATTATTTTTCTGGAGTAATGAAGGATTCCTTAACCGAAAATGACATCCAGTGTTCCAACATTGCTAAGTACAATTAATACATCAATGGTGAAAAAGTTTAGTTCACCACTGCACTAACCGACGTCTTCATGAAAAGACTCCGACGCATCGCTCCTGGCAGCGAGATTCTTCGTAGAACTGGCCCTCCTCATAGTCGGTTCAGCCAGGGTTCGCCTGTGTCTGCTGTCTGTCCGGGAATAGCAAGTGATCAAGCACTCTGGCACTTGTATACCGTACCAATACCATCAATACTTTCTACATCTAATCTTAATCTTAAAAGTACCTTCTAAGCTTAATTAATTTAAAGTACTAAGTAAATTCAGTTCAGTTGGCATACGGCTACGCGAACACGACGCATTGTAGTGGCTTGTAGGATCTACCGATCCACTTAATTATCATCGTGTCGAAATTGTCCAAATTTTAATCAAAACTCTAGCGGTACTCGGTCACGAAACCTCCTGGAACCAATGGCCGGAAGTTAATGGACTCCTTATTAATTAATACTAAAGTTAGGATAAACATGTTTAATAAACTGGCGTGAAAAGCAATTTTATTCTATTGATAACAGACTTACATTGGCTTTCTCTGTCGAGGATCCGCGATTGAGAGCAACCTCGTTGCCTCCTTGTATTTTTGTCGAATCTCAAACAAGCAGACTTCTCTTTGGCTTCAAGCTTTCGCTCCCCTATGGGCCCTATAGCAGGACATACTTTGCTGGTGCCCACAGATTCTTTATTCGAAAACTGAGCCTGGGGCATGCAATCCATCAGGCTCGGCGTCGGCGTGGACTGGAGACGCGGTGACTGAAGTTCAAAGTTAGGTTTTATAGAGCTGTTGGTGTAGGCGTTCTGGACAATTTCATAAGATTTCCAATTAAACTTGATCGGAGAGCGGATGCCAGCGTATTTCGCATGATCGCTTATACGACGGTGTTTCATTGCAACACTTCGTTTCACAAATGGGATTGTTGGCTTTTCTAACATACGTTGCTTATTCTTCACTGATACCACCCGTAAGCTAAAATTTGCTGCGTCCGGCATTCTGTTCAACTATTAATCACATTAAACCATTAATCACATGGACTATAACTTGCTAAAACCGAAAAATACAGAATGCATTTATAGCATTGCCTTAAACTCATCTAATTAATACGTTTTAAATAATTACTAGATAATTAATGCACTGAATGACAATATTTAGTTAACACAGCACACAGACACCAACGTGTACGCTACTCTGCTGCTGGCCCAAAACTAACTACCAGTTGAACTTGAACTTGAAAACTTGAAGTTAGCTAAGAAGGTCGCCTCACAAGATTAGGCAAAAACGAGGAATCAAATATTCCTTTCCAAGCAAACTGACCAGCGAGCTGATAAACAGTGCAGCTCTGATCTCCATTATCTCAACGCCAACACAGTGGGCATACCTACTGACCCGCATGCTGTTATTCGTTGTAACTATTGTCTCAAGCCAACACGATGGGCATACTGACAAAAATTTGTCGTTCAGTGTTCGTCTTACAATTCGTGCGATGATGAGCCGTTGATATATCATTTCACTCACTGATGTTGCAAATTAATTATTACATTACATTGTATCAATAATTTCGTTGAGTTGGTTAAATATCGCCTAGATTTTAAAAATGTCGTCATTATATTCGTAGTTACGCCCTTTGTAATTACTTTCTAAACAGAAAAATGTTGTACACATGCAAAATTTATTTTTCAGCCTAAATATTGGTTAAATTAAATCAAATCATTTATTACATTAAACTAGAAGCCGAGGAGCGTCGTAAGGCAAAGTTTTTGGGGTCATGTCCATCAGCAGTTTGGCAGGCTCTAACGTAAGTGATCGTGACTTGATAAGTTTCGTCCAAAAAAACAGGCTGCTGGTAACCTGACTACCAATGAGATACAAGATGCATTCCCATCCAGCAACCAATAACCTCGCTGACCGAAAGGTTCTTCTTGAACGACCACGAGTATCGTCACGTTAGGATATAAAAGATTGAGAAAGATCATGTTCGAAAATACTGGAAATTTTTTGAGCACTTTAAATGCTTCCAATTTTTTCTCTGAAAATTTCAAGTAAGTACCTCAAAACGATTAACATTAAACGTGCTAGCGTGCAGCAAATGTTTAGCCAGGTTTTGGTTATGGTTAATGAATGACCGAATTAAGCGCCTACAATGTTTCTCACTTCCTGCACTTTGTCACTTCACCACTTCGTCACTTCTCCACTTCGTCACTTCTCCACTTTGTCACTTCTCCACTTCGTCACTCCTCCACTTCATCACTTCTCCACTTCGTCACTTCCACTTCGTCACTTCTCCACTTCGTCACTTCTCCACTTCGTCACTTCTCCACTTCATCACTTCTCCACTTCGTCACTTCTCCACTTCGTCACTTCTCCACTTCGTCACTTCTCCACTTCGTCACTTCTCCACTTCGTCACTTCTCGGCTTCGTCACTTCTCCACTTCGTCACTTCTCCACTTCGTCACTTCTCCACTTCGTCACTTCGTCACTTCCCCACTTCGTCACTTCCCCACTTCGTCACTTCTCCACTTCGTCACTTCTCCGCTTCGTCACTTCTCCACTTCGTCACTTCTCCACTTCTCCACTTCGTCACTTCTCCACTTCTTTGCATGCTGCAGCTCTCAGATGCCGTGCAGTGCAGTATTGCGTGCTGCAGCTCCCAGATGCCGTGCAGTGCATTACTTGCATGCTGCCGTGCATTTGCTTATGTCAACAGCGACCGATCAAAGATTAACCCTCGGTCATGTTAATGCTAATCATGCCTAAAGAAGTGCCCGTGTATCACTTCAGGAATGACCATTTTATTGATTAATATACGATATTATGTTTTTGCTATCTATTGCAATATTAATTTTATAGTGGTATACGTACACTTATAGCGAGAAAGTTAGTTTATTTTTGATTCATTAATCATAAATAATGCATGTGTGCATTGCCGAGTTCATTGCGTAGATTGGCCGACGCCGCTCAATTGAAAGTTCTTGGGTGTTAAATAGCGAACATAACATAGCGATGTCGGCGCTGAAGTGTAGCCTGATGTGGCCTGTTGCCGATTCTTACTTTTCGTGACTTGTTCACAGAAAATCTAAAATCGTGTAATTTGACCGGATCTTTTGAGGACTGACGATAGTTTGAAATATCTACTAGACTTCAACCGGGTTTGATATGGTGCTAGGCATTTCAAATCTGAACATATATTTTTCCATAGCTTTATCTAGTCTGTTCTTGAACGCGTTCAAACTCGGAGCGCCAACGATGTCATCGGGGAGGCTGTTCCACATATCGAAGCGAGAAGAAATGTTGTCGCGTGGATAAATTGCAGCGCAGTTTTTTTAGTTTATAGTAGTGGCCCCTGGTGTTGGTTCTTGTTTCAAATTCTTGTAATCCTCCGGGGACCTTGTATTAACCATGAGTATACTTATAATAATATTAATAGCGGTTTCAGCATTTATTAGGCCGTAGGCCTGTCGCCGATTCTTAACATCGCAGAATATTCACGGAATTTTACGGTCTCGAACTCGCAACTCACTGCTACAATTCTGCTGTGCTTAACCACCCAGCCTTCTTGCCGATTCTGACCAGAAACTGGCGCACAGAGCTGGGAACGAACCCGCGCCTCTCTGCGCCAATCTTGGTACTCTGAACTCTAACCACTGGGCCACTCTGCCCGTAACCACTAGGCCACCCTGCCTTCAATGTATATACAGTATACTTCAATGAGGTCCCCACGCAGACGTCGATAACTGAGGCTTGGAAGCTAAATAATCTTTAATCTTTCTTCATAGGACTTGCCCTTCAAGCCTGGAATCATCCTTGTTGCACGTCTCTGAACCTTCTCTATTAATATTTTGTCCTTTTCAAATCTCGGTGACCACACAACGTTTCCAAACTCTAGATTCGGGCGCACGACAGGAAGAAACAACTGCTTCATCGCTTCTGCATCTAGGAACTCGTATGAGCGTCTGATTAGTCCAAGAAGTTTATTGGATGTGTTAACTTGATTTTTAACATGCTTATCAAATTTCAGATCCTTGTCGACATAAACTCCGAGATATTTTTCCACACTAGACTTTTCAATCATTATTCTCTCGCTGCAACCATGTCTTCTTATACTGTAATCTTGCTACCTATTCATTGTTCTTCCCGAGGTGAAGTACTTTACACTTATCAGCATTAAACCGCAGCTGCCACGTATCAGCCCAGTTAACTAAACTGTCAAGATCATCTTGCAATTGCGCTTTATTTGACGCATCCTTCACTGTATTATAAACTTTTGTGTCGTTGGCATACATGGAGCACACGCTGGACACTGCTTCTGGCAGATCGTTTATAAAAGCAACGAACAAAATAGGGACAAGAACGCTTCCTTGTGGCAAGCCACTGCGCACTGCTGCCCAGCCTGACACGGTTCCGTTAATACTGACACGTTGTTGTCTACCTACTAGAAAATCTCTGATCCATTGGAGTACGTTTCCCTCAATTCCCAAAGACTTCACTTTACGCAACAGCCGTTCTTGCGGAACACTGTCGAATGCGTTGGCAAAATCGAGGTACAAAGCATCCACTGGCTCCCTTTCGTCCAGCAGGCGAATCCAATCGTTCAACGTAGATAATAAGTCAATGGTGCCGGATCTACCGGCAATAAAACCGTGTTGACAATCTGATAGGAGATGGTGAACAGTCAAGTGATCGATAATCCTATCCCTCACAACAGATTCCATTAGCTTACAAACAACATTTGTCAGACTGGGCAATAGTTGCCGGGGCTGCCTTTGTCACCTTTTTGAACAATGGTGTTACTTGAGCTTCTTTCCAGTCGGACGGTAAAGTTCCATCGTTCAAGGTTTTCAAAAAGAATACTGTCAATGGGCCGGCCAGAACAGTTGCTAATTCTTTGAGCAATCTGGGATGGAAGCCGTCTGGTCCACATGACTTATTGGGATTTAGAGCTTCCAGGCGCTTGAGAACCTCTTCTTCGTGTATTTCAAAACCTGTTAACTTTGAGCCGGTTGGGTGTTCCTCAATATCTGAAATACTGTTCAAATCCTCATCTGTGAACACACTGTTAAGAAACTGAATAAAAAAATCGAAATAAGTTCCAAACTAAAAATTGTCTGCTGTGCATTATCAATATTGATGATATAAATAATAATAATAATTATTAACATGAATGATATCTAATTGATGCCATCATGCAACTGAACATGATCATGCGTTTCTCGGCTCCGGTCCTACTGAATTGAAGTCACGAGAATTACGAACGTTCAAGTTAGAGCGCAATGCTTTCTGTCAAGGTCAGGTGGTAGGAGTTCCGGTAACGTAACGTTTAAGAACCGCTGTAGTTTGATAATTTTGGAGTATTCGTGTATTACTGATATGGTAATATATTCTGCCGGGACAGTTATTATTTGCTAAAAAATGTCAGAAATAAAAATCACGGCGTTCGAAGCAACGCAATCTTGCCAGGTAAGAATACTTTACTAGTGAACTATCGCTATAAGTAACTAGGTATTACCTAGCTATTACTTCGAACTTCCAAAGCACGTTTATCATGTTGGTAGTTATTTGGTACTATTGAGTTTTTAGTTTAGACCTAATTAATCTAATCTATATGGCCAGATTTAAGTGCTGAGACAGGATCCAGATTCCAGCCTCCAATCCAAGAAAATGAGTCTTCTGTGGCTGTGCCCCTATTTCATTTGCAATTTGTGTGACCAAAAAGTTTAAAATTAGTCAAATTGAAAACTACTATTTGCTTAAAATGAGTAGGTAATCCGCTCCGAATATGTTTGCAATTTATTAAATTCTGTAGCTTTAGTAACCTAAGTGAAGTTTCGTCCCATTGCCAATTAGGGCATTCAGGCTTCAGTCTTTCAAGCAATTAATGTGTAATAGCCTAATAGGCTAATAGGGCCTACAGTTCAGGGTGGAATTCTAGAAATGGAGGTTCACTTATAAAAAAGCTTTCCACCCAAGGTGGAATGCTTTCCTTAGATACAGTGCTCTGCCAGGTGACTGACTATAAATGAAGAGGAGGATCAAAAGTGGACAAACTGTTTCAGTTGTATAGTACCTCAGATTTGTTATAAAATTGTTTGAATGTCTCTTGTTTGATAGATATTCTCTATTTTTCTTTTATTTAATGGATTTTTTGAAATTTTTCCAGTCTTTTTGTTTGTAATGATCAAGTTTAAGTTAAGTATTTAGTTAACCAGTACTGTAGTTAGTGTAGTACATATACCATATTTGGGGGCCGGGCTTATGGGCACAACCAATCACAGCTGGAAAGCATCCCCATCAACCAATCACAGCTTGAAAGCATCCCCAGCAACCAATCACAGCTAGAAAGCAGATTACATTACAACTGCATTAACCAATCACAGCTGGAAAGCTGGAAGGGGCTAAAATCACAATCCCATAAACCAATCACAGTTGAAAAGTGATAGGATATGTATAATGTATATAATAAAATGGACTGGGTCTGGAAGTGGAAAGTTCCTGGACTTTCCAACATTCCAGGTCCTGCTTTCCAATATGCTATGTGTACTGGTTAATTTAATATCCCTCTAGAATTCCACACTGTTCCACAGAAATGTTTTATGTTGTAACTTGTACCTAGCAGCTAAACTTATCATAATCGTAATATTGCTAAACTAAAAATAGTGGCGTAAAGGTTAACATTTTTACTAGGTAGGTAGTATCTATATAGTACAAAGCAAATTAAGAAATCATACATTTACTAATTACTACCTCTAAAAATCCCTGAAAAAAAGTTTATAAAGTGAGATTTTAGAACAGTACCTCTCATACTAGTGAGTACCTCTGCTAAGGCCTGTAGCAAAAAAAAATATTCACTGTACCGTCAAGGCGTCAACCGGGGCTACTCGGGAGTCGGGACAGGCGGGGCTACTCGGGACAGGCCTCCAACACGGTGTCAAACTGTTGTTGTAGCGAAACTAATTGGAATATTGCAAAACTAAAAATAGTGGCATAAACATCAACATTTTTCCTATCTATGTAGTATAAAGGAAGTCAAAAAATACTACATTTACTAGCTTTGAAAAATTCCTGCAAAAAATGGTGAAAAATGCCATTTTGCAAAGTTACTTCTGCTAAGGTCTGGAGCAAAAAAAAATATTTGCCGTATACAAAAATTTTACTTACATAAAAGTTGCACCCAGGTGTTGGCTTAAAAACGTAATTGACAGATTTTGCCTATCTTATTTCAAAACAAAATGTCGGTCATTTCCGCACAGCGGGGCTACTCGGGGCAACCCCCCGGGGATATTCGGGACAACCCCAAAAACGCATTTACAGTAGAACCTCAGTTAGCAAAGGCTCCAGTTCAGAAAAAAATTGATTAGGAACTAAGAATATTGATTACATTTACCTCACTCAGCGAAAAAAAATTCACTTATCGAAAAATTAGTGCATCATTGGTCATCACAAAATTGTGCATAGAATGTCATATATAGAATTGTGCACCAGACATCATAGAATGAAAAGCAATTGACCTAAACTACGATTTATTTCTCCAAAACGTATGATGGTTGTCACTAAAACATTCCTTTCTGTTACAGATATGTTTTTCACAATCTTTTTTTTCATAGTAAATTCACTTAACCCAATTAAAATGGTGTGAAATTACAAGCCGTCCTGTAAGCTTACAGATACAGAAAAAATGCTATAAGGCTGCTGATATGAAGCTTTCAGTTGACAAGGTTGTTGTAAATGCCCGATGGCATGTTCATGGATACGGTAATATTGCATCAATAATACAGTAATATCGCATCAATAATACGGTAATATTGCATCAATAATACAGTAATTATTGTAGGTAGTATATGGTAATATCATATCAATGAAGGAGAAACAAGTAAAAATCACAGAAAAAGTCATTCATTCTACCTCTTCATCATCTACAATGAAAGAGGAGGACTTCAGAGTACTGTTAGTAATGGATGAGTACACTCTGCGTACTTCAACTGTTTTAAAGTGAAGTTTTATTCCAAGTGTCCCAAGTACGTAGCCCCCTTCGACGGGGCTACTTGGGACACTCATATTTTTGCTTCTGGCACCTTACGAATAGCATATGGAATTTTTTTGACAATGTCATTCGATAGCCCTCGCAAAGAGCTATAAAATGAGCCTAAACTTGTTTATGAAACGTTTCATCGTAAGAAGTTATTAACAGTTATTATCAAAAAAAGGCTCAAAACTGTCCCGGGTAGCCCCGGTTGACGGTATTACAAAATTTTACTTAAATGAAGGTTGCACACAGGTGGTAGCCTAAAAACTTGATTGTTGGAATTTGTATATCTCATTCCAGAAAAAATGAGATATACAAAAAAATGGCTGCCAGTTCTGCACGATGGGGTAATACCGGTAAGGGACATGGGGTAATGAGGGACACCTCTAAAAATGCATTTACAGCAGAACCTTGGTCAGCAAAGGCTCCAGTTAATGAAAAAATCAATTAACAACAAAAATATTTGATTTCATTTGCCTTGCTTGGTGAAAAAAATTTTACTTACGAAAAATTCATGCATCATTGGTCATCACAAAATTGTGCATAGAATGTCATAGATAGAATTGGTCACTGTGCAACATAGAATGAAAAGTAATTAACCTAAACAATAATTTATTTCTCCAAAAAATATGATGGTTGTCACTAAAATATTCCTTTCTGTTTCAGGTATGCTTGTACAATTTTTTTTTGGTTATAGTGAATTCAATTGACCCAATTAAAATGGTGCAAAATTACAAGCCACCCTGTAAGCTTACAGATACAAAAAAAAATGCTACATTTCTGCTGATGTGAAGCTTGCAGTGGACAAGGTCGTTGTCAATGCACAATACATGGATATAGTAATATCACATTAATAATATTGTAATGTATAGATATGGTAATATCATATACCATCAAATAAGGTAATAAGGGACGGTTTTGAGCATTTTTTGTTAATAACTTCTTACCATGAAACATTTCATAAACAAGTTTGGGCTCGTTTTAACGCTCTTTGTGAGGGCTATCCAATGGCATCTCCAAAAAGTCCATATGCTATTTGTAAGGTGCCAGGCACTAAATAAAAGCATCCCAAATTACCCATGGGAACAGGGTAATCCAGGACACTTGAAATAAAACTAAATTTTAAAATGTTTGAAGCTTGCAGTGTACTCATCCATTGCTGACATTTGCAACAACCTTGTCTCTGCAAGCTTCATATCAGCAGCCATGTTGCATTTCTTCTGTATCTGTACTTAAGCTTACAGGACGGCTTGTAATTTCACACAATTTTAATTTGTTCAAGTGAATTCACTATAACAGAAAAAAAAAGATTGTAAAAACATGCCTGAAACAGAAAGGAATATTTTATTGACAACCATCATATTTTTTGGAGAAATAAATCATAGTTTAGGTTAATTATATTCATTCTATGTGTCCCGGTGCACTATTCTATCTATGACATTCATGCACAATTTTATGATGACCAATGATGCATTGATTTTTCATTGAATGAATTTTTTTCACTGTGCGAGGTAAATGTAATTAAAATATTTTGTTGTTAACTGAGTTTTTGCTCACCTGGAGCCTTTGCTAACTGAGGTTCTACTGTAAATGCATTTTTAGGGGTGTCCCTTATTACCTCAGAGGGTGTCCCTTATTACCCCATCCTACGGAAATGGCCGCCATTTTATTTTGGAATGACCTAGGCAAATTCTGTCAACCAGGTTTTCAAGCCAACACATGTGTGCAGTAAAGCCATAGCCAACACAAGTAAAATAAACAAGCCAACACAAGTAAAATTTTTAATATGGCAAATATTTTTTTTATACAGACCTTAGCAGAGGTATTTTCCAAAATCACACTTTTCACACTTTTTCAGTTATTTTTCAAAGGTATGTATACCTAGTAAATGTGTGGTATCCTAACTTACTTTATGCTTCATGGATAATAAAAATGTTGAACTTTATGCCACTATTTTTCATTTTGCAATATTTTGATCATTTGAGCTGCAATAACAGTTCTACACAATGTGGGACGACTGTCCCGATTTACCCCACCCTCCCTTATTACCCTGTTTGATAGTAAATAAAGTAAAAATCACAGAAAATGTCATTTATTCTTCAACTGCATCATCTACAAAGGAAGAGTAGGACTTTAGAGTACTATTAGGACTGGATGAGTATAGACTTTGCATGCTTCAAACATTTTAAAATTAAGTTTTATTTCATGTGCCCCAGATTACCTCATTCTCAGTGGTAATTCGGGACACTTATATTTTGCGTCTGGCGCCTTACTAATAGCATATGGATTTTTTTGGACATGCCATATGATAACCCTCTCAAAGAGCTTTAAAATGACCCCAAACTTGCTTATGGGTAAGAAGTTGTTAACAAAAAATGCCCAAAACCATTTCTTATAACCCCTTTTGATGGTACCTACTGTTAGTAATGGATGAGGGCACTTTGCATGCTTCAAACATTTTAAAATTAAGTTTTATTTCATGAGCCCCAGATTACCTCATTCTCAGTGGTAATTTGGGACACTTATATTTTGCGTCTGGCACCTTACAAATAGTAAATGAAATTTTTTTGTGATGCCATACGATAGCCCTTGCCAAGAGCTTAAAAATGAGCCCGAACTTGTTTATGAAATATTTCATGGTAAGAAGTTATTAATGAAAAACGCTCAAACCTGTCTCTTATTGCCCCATTTAACGGGACCAAGTGAGGAAAATGTCTACTCTCTGAACCACATCTGCATATATTGAGCCCTGATTATATGGATTTGCAAGGCGTTATTCCATTTCTTAGAGCCGTTGTTATCGTGCGAGTCTCAGCACACAGTGAGTAGCAACTTATCTCCTCTTCTAGCAAATGGCAGGGGCCATGACAATCAGAATGAATGAATATTGTGGAAGTGATAATGCTTGTCTAAATCTGAGGTTTTAAATCTGTTTAATTTTAAATTTCATTTAGATACAATATCAAATGAACAAGGTCTTCACATATTTACAAAATGAGTGAAAACTAAGATTCTCAATCGGCAAAATAAAATCTAAAAACACTAATAAAGGGGAGAGCCCAGGCCAGATTAAGGTGAATTTAACATTACTGTGCAAGGTGTAAAAATACATGCAATTAATAAATTAGTAGAAGACCCATTAATTGGGAATCTGTGATTGAAATAATTAATTTTTTTCAATCAAAGTAGGCTGAGGTAAAGGAAAAGACCTCTTCAGTCAAACTCAGCAAGACAAGCCAGGGACATAGTCATAATTAAATGGAAAGCAAAAACCAGCAGGGTTTGTAAGCTGAACACATTTGATCATTTCAAGACAGATAATTAAGGAAGTATAGCTGACTAGTTGTTTGAAATAGAAATAAAAAGAAAAGGCAGTCATGACCAAATTAAGTAAGTATAGCTGACTAGTTGTTTAAAATAGAAATAAAAAGAAAAGGCAGTCATGACCATAGTGTGAATAAAGCATAGGTAATTCCGACTATTTTATAGTAGGTATAATATTGAAAATAGCTGTGTTGGGAAGTGTGAGAAGGCTATAGAAATTAGGGTTGAAACTGTGTAAAGCTTGTATAAGACACTCTTATTCTGGAGACCTTGAGAACGAGGTTTTGTTCATAGTTAGGAATGGGGAGTGCATCAATCGGCTGACCCTTGCGGATTTCGAAACTGTCCTGGCGTCACTTTGAGGGTATAGGCTTAGGTTTGGGCGACACCAGCATATATAAGGAGTAAGGACCTTAAGAGCCTCATTCAAGGACAGGCGAAGTATTCTCTGAGCTCACCAACCAAACTCAGTGTAAATTTCTGCCGGCAGCAAGGCAGGAATTTACGGCACAATTATGGTCTGGCAGCAAAGTTTCGCGGCAAGGAATTCGTTGGGAGGGGGGGGATGAAAGTGATTTATTGGTGAACGAATTAATTGTTAAAGTAATTGTGCCGGATATTATATCTATGTGCATAACATGACATTAACGGAATGCAGGTCTTTCATTGGCATGTGTGTAACTTTCATAGCCTCAAAGTTACATAGATTATTTTCGGGTTCCTGGATGAATTGGTAGAGATTGATGAAAGGCTGTGAACTGCTGCTTGTTTCCACACCCCCCCCCCCCCCCCCCCCCCCACTCTGCTCCTCGTACTCTATAGATGAAGGTGGAGGCCCCCTTAACCCTCTCCCTCTAGGGACTGTTACAGTTTACTTTGATTCTTATTTTTACGCATTAAATTGACAGCATGCATGTTTTTTTTCTCATTCTTGGCCGGCTTCTGTCCACATACCAGAATGGGAATGGAAATGGCATGATAATTGCACACTTGTTGTTGCTGCTGTTGCCCTGCACCTGGTCTGGGCCTTTAAGGGCCCCTGGCTGGGGCCAATGTACAACTGCTGCTGCATCTCTACAAGGGATGAGGGATGTTGCATTGTTAGGGCAGTTGAAGAGGAGGGTCAAGTAATAATGTCACTTGTTTGCTTGACGCAAATTCACTAAAAACTTAAAAGTAACTTTGCTTTTAAGTTTTTGGAAGGGTCATGTCATCCGGTAAGAGATGACAGTAGCTGCATATATTGCTGATGTTATTGTTTATTTTGCTTTTGGCATAAATAAGTCTGCATCATAAATGGGTTTACGATGCACTCTCGATAAATCTACAGTTACAGATTCTCCAGCTAAGTGCCTACTGAATGCTGGAAAATTTTGCCATCCGACCAAGCACCAAGCAAATATCACCAAAAATTATTTCTAAATACCTTTTTCTTCATGTTATGGTTACTGGTATCCTCATAAATCGATTGGATCACAACCGTTGATTATGTTCAATAAATAATCCCTGAAATTAAAAAAAAATCCAATGCAAAAATCAAACCCGTTCAAACGCATGTTAGACTCGTTGCCAAACTTTTTAAACCCATTTGACTTTTATTCTAAAACATATAAAAAATATTTGGCGTCTGTAATTTAATTTGTGCAAAGCAATTTAAAAGTCAAATTTAATTTTAGATCAAATCCCTCCTACTCAGTTTTGCATTGCTTGCTGTTCTCCCACTAGAAATAAATTTTCAGATCCAAGTAATATCCTGATTACGATAAGTAGCGTGGATACATGATCGAACAGACAAAATATATTTACGGCGCCTGGCTTCAATCGCACGAACTTAGTCAATTAGTCATTTATACTCGGGAATATTTCGAGTTGATAGCCCAGTGTATTATTTATAGTTTTTAAGCTGTTCCTTTGCATCAACGATGCAATCGCTGGTCATTATTTAAAAATAATTTGCCCTTTAGTCCACCGTAAGTCCAGTACCGTAATCTAAATTACTGATAAATTTAGTACGTACCGGTACAGTTATTATTCTACAAATTATTCGCATTACTCTGCTCCAATGTGGGCTCTCTTCTTAAGAGCAGGTACTAAATATCGACTGCCTGATTGTATCAAAATACTCGATCAACTAGCATTCCGTTCAAGAATTCCGTGCCGCGACATGTCTTATGAAGACCAACATTATAACACTAATGATCACAGCATACTTCATGAGACATGAAGCAAACATGAAGCAAGTGCTGGCGGTGCTTGCTTAATGTTTGGTTTGCTTAGTTGCTGACGTGCGCATTTTCTGCCACCGCGTTCTCGGTTAACCGAAATGACCACGTCAGCATACAGCTTTGCTTCTCTGTGTGTTGTTGACATAAACCTGTGGCGCCAGCAACCTCATATCCCTGTCTGCAGGCTCTCAGCCACTCATTTAAGCTCCGGAGCTTGTCTTGTGCGCAGTGCTCTACCCGCAACCTTGTGCCTAATTTGTGCGAAAACTTCGTCTGATTAGGGAATGGTGTGAAATTTTCGTGTATTGGTGTCTGATAGTCCGCTTGTATAGGTTTCTTAGCCCCCTTTTGATCGTGATGTCCCAATTCCACGATACGCGATCAGTGCGCATAAAGTTCACCATGGAGAATACCGACGACGAAATGTTCTGGCATTACTGCCAACATTTTGCTCCATTGCCTCTCTCGAATTTGTCCTACCATCGGAGATTGCAATACGAGGTGATTTTTTCGAGAGAATGGCAGTTAGGCACATGTTTTCTCGGCACGTAGTGGAAGATTAGTCATTCTATCATTATATATGTATATATCATTCCATAATGATCGCCCTTGACTAAGCGAGTTACAGTATGTATCTATTATCTGTGGATAAATTCATTTCTAAAATTGTTTTTCGAACGAATTACTCCAACTGATTTGTTTTGTTGACAACCATTCTTGTCAATTCGATTCGATCTTTTTTCACTGAAAAAAACTTTTTTTATTAGTTCCAAATGTATTTTATGCACTCTATTGATTTCATGTAAATATTATGCTGCAACGCACCGTTTTCCTACACAAGTTTACCAAGTAATTTGTGTTGTGCCGTGCCAGATCGGTTCACCATTCCTGCCCCCGGCACCGAATTGGTTCAGCAGCGGCAGCGCAGACTGCCGGCCGCAGGACCGCCTGCTTGTCACAGGCGCCTTCAAGAGCATCGTCTTGTACAGGATACCTGAGGGACCCGGGGCGCCGCAAGTACTGAAGGTAAGCCCAGCTATGTTGATGATGAGACTACGTCCTAAAAGCTATGCAAATCTTGCCTTTGCGTGGGTTATCCTGACACAGTTAAGCCCTGAAAGAAATTCGTATTAGTGCTACCTCCGTAAAGTGTGTCACCATGTGGACAATATGACCCATGCATTTTTATTAGTGTAGGGGCGGACTAACGCCTTTGCAAGTTTTCCACTTTTTAGTATTTTGTATGAGAGAAAGGAGTGCAAAATATTTTTTTATTGGCATACTATATTTATGTGGTTTTAATAATAGATGAATTAGCATGTTATGTTTCATAGCATAATTATCGTAAATAATCGTATAAACGTTCCTCGATCAACATATATCTTTGATAGGTCTACTGTCTTGTCCAAATTTGTACTGCCTCATTAGAGTTATATGATGCGACGAGAGTTATATGTTGCTGTACTGATATGACGTTGTTTTATAGAGCATCTACCACGCGGGGGCGAAGGTGCTACAGGTGCGACTGTTCCCTGACGCTCACCATGCCCGTCACGGCAGCTCGCTGCTGGTCACCACCGACCAGCACCACGTCACCCTCTACAACGCCGACACTGGCGCAGCTACCATCCAGCACGCTGAGCATGTGGTGCGTCAAGCGCGCGTGTTGCGTGTCTGTGAAGCGTGCGTGCAACGTGTCTGTGAAGCGTGCGTGTTGCGTGTCTGTGAAGCGTGCGTGTTGCGTGTCTGTGAAGCGTGCGTGTTGCGTGTCTGTGAAGCGTGCGTGTTGCGTGTCTGTGAAGCGTGCGTGTTGCGTGTCTGTGAAGCGTGCGTGTTGCGTGTCTGTGAAGCGTGCGTGTTGCGTGTCTGTGAAGCGTGCGTGTTGCGTGTCTGTGAAGCGTGCGTGTTGCGTGTCTGTGAAGCGTGCGTGTTGCGTGTCTGTGAAGCGTGCGTGTTGCGTGTCTGTGAAGCGTGCGTGTTGCGTGTCTGTGAAGCGTGCGTGTTGCGTGTCTGTGAAGCGTGCGTGTTGCGTGTCTGTGAAGCGTGCGTGTTGCGTGTCTGTGAAGCGTGCGTGTTGCGTGTCTGTGAAGCGTGCGTGTTGCGTGTCTGTGAAGCGTGCGTGTTGCGTGTCTGTGAAGCGTGCGTGTTGCGTGTCTGNGCGTGCTCCGTGTGTGTGAAGCGTGCGTGCTGCGTGTGTGTGAAGCGTGCGTGCTGCGTGTGTGTGAAGCGCGCGTGCTGCGTGTGTGTGAAGCGTGCGTGCTGCGTGTGTGTGAAGCGTGCGTGCTGCGTGTGCGTGAAGCGTGCGTACTGCGTGTGCGTGAAGCGTGCGTACTGCGTGTGCGTGAAGCGCGCGTTTTGCGTGTGCGTGAAGCGCGCGTGCTGCGTGTGTGTGTGTGAAGCGCGCGTGTGTTGCACGCCTGTGAAGCGCGTGTGCTACGTGTGTGGACGTGGCACCGATTGGATTGCCTTGGAAAATTGACAAATGCAAGTTCTAAATTTACATTTGAGCATTTGATTGCCAGCAGTCACTCTTCACTTTGAATTTTCGTGACCTCACACCTGCCTTGCTGGTTGCTTTCCTTAGTCCTTACGTCGGTTTGAAAAGTTTGTTTTTGATAAAATTACTTTTTTATTCATATCATGTATCAATTATCATGCATAACCATAAACAATGCTTGTACGTATTCTTGTGTTGTAGGATGGCGGGGTGAACGGCATCTGCTTCAGCGTGTCGACATCAGGCGAGGTGCTGGCTGTGTCAGTGGGCGGTAATGGTCGCCTCGTCCTCTGGAATGTAGACACTAACATCACCAAGACGATGTTCCTGAACCCGTCAGTCCGTCCCAACCTTTTGGTCAACCCACAATCTGACGTGACGCTCACTCTGGTCGAGGTTGTGCCTGACGCAGACCACACTGTCATTGTGGCTGCTCAGAAGATCATGGTGGTTGTGGACGTTAAGAGTGAGTTCAGTTTTTGTCTTTCTGGTCTGGGTTGTAACTGTTTTTTTTTATATTCAAATGAAATTGAAAACGTATATCAAATGTAATTTTTATTATGAGTGATCTATAAAATAAATGTAGTTGTAATCGTGTTGATATGTTTCGGATTCAACTTCTTATTTTCGTGCCTTTTTTTGCTCAAATTACGTTTTGTCACCTACCATATATAAATCCTATTCCCATGTACGGTGTATAACGCTTATAGTTTTGCCAGGTTGTCAAGTGCTATACCAACTGAAAGGTCACGAGCAAGCGATCTACACCATCAGATGGTGGACTCCGCCTCACCCTTCTGTGAAAACTCCCTTCACTGAACCTCACGCATGCGGTGAGTGTACCTGCGGCTCCCAGTGTTATTATGACGTTACATACTGGTGCATTTAAGGCAATGAAACAATATCATACAATATTAAAATTATTAACTATATTATACAAAACTTGTTAATAATCTAGACAAACCTCCACCTGGTACCTCATCTCGTTATTTTGCGATGAAGTTCTTATAATTCATACCTGGCGAAATTGGAAGGCGTCGACTTTGCCCCCTTGCCTACTGATGGTGAATGAAGCCACCTAAGGCCGCACTATTAAAACTCGCTTACGTGCAAGTAGTGGCCGACGGACTGATTTCTCGTCTGTGACTGGTGTTGTCTTTACAATCCATCAATAATTGGCTGATGGAGTTGAAAGCTCATAACTATTTTTGATAACTCGGCCTCAGGCCTTGAGATATCATTACAAAGGCTTGGGACAACATCTTATTTATCGTTAAACGGTGGGTCAAAATCTTTGTCTTTCTTATCAGTACAATCGGTAAAATCTCAATGTATTTTTTTCCATTTGTTGAACATTTTGCTTATTATATTTTGTATTCATTCCTACAATTACTACAAGTTACGAATTTCATCGCCTATTCTTTTTCTACACTGTGGACTGTCCAGAACTTAAGAGCAAATTCCTGATTAAGTACAATAAGTTGAGCTGCCCAGTTGCGCTGTTGTGCTAAAACTACCTCAGCCAAGTTTCTCACTACCGACTTATTAGTGTGAAGAGTTCGTCAGACGAGTGATCTCATTTATATAACTTTTGATAGTCTTGAATCGCCTTACAATGATCACTTTTTGTTCATACCTCCTGTTTTAAAGGCTTGTATTTTGGCTTTACAGCTGTAATGAAAACTTAAGGTTGTTTTGGCTTTATTTATTTATTATATTTATTTTATTTATTATATAGATAATTTTTTTCTTATATTTCATTTTTTATGAGATTGTTTTGGCTTTACAGCTGGAGACTCTGAAAGTAACCTAAACGACACGAAGAGGCAGCTGGAGACAGCGTCAGGCCCTTACTTCGCCTCGTCCGACCACGGCCGTAACATCCTGCTGTGGAACGTCGCCAGTCGCCGCTTTGTGTGCCGCACGCAAGTTGCACCCTCAGACACTTTCAAGAAGCCTGTGAGTTATCATCAATTATGAGTATAATCCTCTTCATTTTGAGTTGTTTTTCATACGCCTGAAATAGCCGTAGTTCCTTTCGCTGTTCTTTGTTGTTCCTTATCATACAAGGGTATAGCATGCAAGCTACAGCCTATAGCGGCTATCGTGATCTCTTGTGCTCGTTGGTATATAATTAAGCAAATTATTGCTTGACTGCGTTCTGTGGCAGATTGATTATTACCGCAATCTCGTTTGTATTCATATTCTTTGCTGTGATTTGGTATTATACTGATTATTTCTTGTATTTATTTGGCTATGTTGCAAATTAATAGAAAATCGGGGGAATTTTCTATTAATTATCATTCTTAATTATTTGCCATGACTCGAATGTTATACCTATATAAAATTTAAAATTTATTTCCACTGATAGTCTTACATTGTCTTTTATTCACTTGAGATCATGATGATGTGAAAAATTTGTTTGCGGTAATTTTCGAAACAAATTATCTCCTTTAACATTGACGATTTTGAAAGTGTTGCCTCAATTCCCGACTCCAGAAAGGGGCCGTAGGTCGCAGCTTTCGACCCCCCATCCAGCACGTCGCGCTTGCCTGGTATGGTAACCGCCTGCTGGCCAACACTGCTGCGGGAGTCATAATATCCATCCCTCTGTCTGAGAACGCTTCCACTAGCTGCGTCTCTGTGACTCAAGACAGCTTGACTGTGACCAATGCTCCTGCCAGCGACAGGAGCAATTCTCGTGACTGGAGGAGTGACAGCAAAACTAACTCAGAAGCTAGTGCAGCATCGGTGAACAATGAGGAACTAAGACCCGGTATTATACATCGGGAACACACTCGAGTCTTGTTCAATTTGAATGTAATTGGTTCGATACTTGTTAGTTGCGGGCAGGACCGAAATCTTGTTGGATATTGCCTGGACACCAACAAAGTGCATTTCTCCTTGCCAACGCTTGGTGGCGCTGTGCATTCCTTAATGTTCGATCCAAGAGACTCCAGTTGGCTTGCTATGGGACTACATGAAGATTCCATTAAGCTCATTAACCTTAACAGCTCTCCTCCGCTGAGGAGCAAGGCTATTTCTGGTGGCATCAAGGGCAAAGTCTTGTCCTTAAGTTGGCATCCCAAAGAAGATGGCTTCTTGCTGTACGGAACGTCTGATGGTCAAGTCGGCATTGCCAATGTCAATTCAGGGAAGGTAACGGCGTTCGCTTTCTTCCATCAAAGGCCCGCTTACAAAGTGGAATGGGCTCCTGCTGTGCTACCTCAGCGCTTCCCTGAATATGCAAAATCTTGGTGCGCTTTCTCTGTTGGGGATCGTGAAATTGTCATGAGGAATACGAGCAGTCCCATGGCGGACCCCGTGAAACTCACAGTGATTTGTCCCAATCTTCCAGACTACATAACCGAATTTTCATTTTCTCCCGACCATAAATTTCTTGCGATTGGATGTCAGAATGGCAGGGTATCAATCGTTAGAAGTTCAGATCTTATAGAACTTGTAAAAATTGTCGTAGTGCGCAAAACTATTCAGCACCTCCTTTGGAAGCCAGTGATGTCAGCCAATGCAACTGACGCAAAAACTCATTACTACCTCGCAATGGCATCAAGTGAAAGTAAAATTTGTTTGCTTGACTTGACCAACACTCTCCCAGAACAGAACGCTAAGTACGATCAATTCCACCTTGTGTCTGAAGCCGCTAGAAATGAAACGGAAGAAATCTCGGAAGGGAAACCAGACCTGCCTGCGTGGGAGCCTCTGATCATGCCAACCTGCACCCGCGAGTTGTGTGGGCACGCTAGTCGCGTCGTTTGGTTGTGCTTTTCGAAACACAATCCAAATCTCCTCGCATCTGCATCTTATGATCACACGTGCCAAATATGGGACACGAGCTCTGGGGAACAAGTAGGTAACTACCGAGGCCATCTTTGCAGACTTTACCGAGTTGAATTTAGCCCCACCGAAGCCGACCTCCTCTATAGTTTCGGTGAGGAAAACAGTATTCATCAGTGGAGGTACACCGATCTCATCGATAAGTCACCACCTGGTAAGATAATGAAATTGCGAGACGCTAAGCCAAAGATTGCATCTAGTAACATACAGGAACCGCAGCCAGGGCCTGCTACGACCAATGCTGCTAAGCCTCGACCAGCCAAGAACAACGAGCTTGCTCCTGCTTCTGGGTTTGCGTCGAAGCGAGTTGCGTCACACAAGTCCTTGTTTCCTTTACTGCACCACGCCTCCTGCTACAAGAGAGGCTTCATCCTTATGAGCATCATGTGTATGCACGAGCAGAAAAAACTTGAGGCAGCACACAAGAAACAAGAAAATGTCAACATTGAGGATTTACTTGAGGCTGCTGAGGAAGAAGCCGCTGTTGCTGAAAGGTATTTTCTTGTGCGGGATATGAAAAATAGTTATATATGATTGCTTTAATCTCATAAACTAAATTGCTTATTAAATTGAGCAGAATTTTTTTAGAAATTTTATTGACGATCCGCTTCAATGTAATGTACCTACTTGTCGTCAAAATTGTATCATTATAGACAGCTTCACTAAGTGTATATTGAATTTTACAGTTCATCAGCTGTGCTTGGATCAGCTGTGGCCCACTACCCCGCAGTACTGGAGGCTGTTGGAGCTGCCGTCATGGAAGCTGAAGACGAACTTCCACGCGTGGAAGACATCAAGACCTTCGTGGACTTCTACGGATCTGCCGACCAGACTGCGTCCTTCTTAGACCAGCAAAGTGAGTGTGTGCGATATTACGACCTGTAGCTCCTTAAATGCAGTTTGTTTATAGGTAATCACGTTAATTCGCAACAACAAGTTCCTACGCCGGTCATTCTGGCTTGTGATTATATGTTAAAGCATTTAACCTAATTTGAATTAAGAAATTGCCCACACCTATATTCACTAAATAAACATTCGTATTGACAATTTAGAGTTAGGTTCTGGTAATGACGCGTTCTTGCCTAGCAAGCACCATTAACTATTTAAGGTAGCGACCATTGCTCTGTCGTATTTTCTGTCCAGTTATTATTTCATTGATTATTTCAGTCGCAAGCCACATGGAGGCCAACAACTTGGCCGTTGCGGCGCCGCTTCATCTCTGGCGCGGCACCTCCGAGGCGCTCGTGCGTCAAGCCATCAGCAGCAAGTCCCTCACTGCTGACATCGTGGTGCAGGCGCTGCACGCCTCCAGGCAGTGAGTAGCTCCCTGACGTCAGCTCATAGTTGAGTTGTGGCAGCAAGTCCCTCACTGCTGACATCGTGGTGCAGGCGCTAATCACTTGCTTTTTTTTGCTTAAATTGCACTTTTCTGAAAAATGAAAAAAAATTGTTTCCTAGTCTAATTGATGGTAAGCAATCGCTGAAGATTTTCTACGGCAGGACTGACATGACAACCTTGATATCGTGCAGACTTGGCGAGACCGCGTGCGAGGCGTTCTCTCAGCAGCTCGTGGCTGCTGGTGACATCGTCACTGCTTCCTCCTACCTCATCATGGCTAATAAGGTCACCTCAAAATGTCTAAAATTATTCGATAAATTGACTTCATGGACATGTCGAAAGTATGAAAATCTTACTTATGTCATCTGGATATTAATCTTGAGCAGCCATATACTTCTTCATTAAAAAATGTCCTTGCCACTGGCATTTAATTTTATTAGTTCTCATTGCGAAGACACATTTCATTATTCTTGCAGAAAGAAAATGTGATGGCAGATAAATTTTCGTTATAATATTATATAGCAATATGTCTCGGCTATTATCGTTTTTTAATGTTGCAATGATTTTCTGACATATTTTTCAAAAACTAACATTGTTCTCCCCTCCCTGTACAAGCCGTGTTTTTTTATTAAATTCCATGTAATGGGCATTTACTTATTCTTCAAGTTAGCGATCATTCGTGCAGCCAATGTATGCTCCTCCTACAAGACATAGTCCTGACAGTGCTGACAATTTACAGACGCGGCAGCTTCTGATTTAAATGACCTGAAGCTGGGGTGACTCTAAATTTTGTTAGGGCAGTGTTGAAAATTGAGGGCTAATTTAACCATTATACTGCAGGTAACTGAAGCGATCGAGCTGCTACAACAGCGCAAGCTGTACAGAGAAGCGCTTGTGTTGGCCAAGACGCGACGCCCCGGCAACCTGGCGTTGCAAGAGAGCATCGCTGTGAACTTCGCCAAGAATTGCATGGCGGAGGGACAATATGACATCGCCGCAATACTGTGATTCTAAAACATTTCCTACACTTTGATTCTATTTTGATATCCTCTCTTGAGCAGCCTTGTAATATATCTTTTGCGTTATCTCTCCGCGGTTATCTGTTTGTAGAAAAATATGATCTGCTCTGACTTTCATTTGTGTAGAGCTGATTTACAGTTCTCTTTTTGAGCTATAATTTACTTTTATTCCTTATTCATTTTACTTTCGTGCACTCAATGTTGATGATTATAGTCGCGTAGTGCTTGCTTGAAATCTGTGCACTTATGAGGTTATGAAAATTAGTTGAACTGTAATGTTCTTATCCATCATGCAACACAGCTTGTTCCGAAAAAGACTGATTACTGAATGCATTTATTCTGGTGCCAGATAGAATTGTTGATTCCGTCATTAGGTAGTGAGTAGGTTAATGTGCTCGAAAAGCCGTCGCGTGTTTTGGCCATCCTTTCTACAAACATTTGATCGAGTTTTCCAGCCTAGATTTATTTTCTGTCACTTGAAAACGATGCTGAACCAAGATGCCGTGTTAAAGAATGTACAGTTTGTTAGAACTTTTTCCTGAATTTCTTTATTTTCCGCACTGGAAGCATCTACCTGGACGCTTTTTATTGAGGTTCTCGGGAGGTTCTCGGGCAAAGCGTTCTAACCTTGCTGCCTGTTGATGACTGCGCTGCAATGAAGCAACTGTTCAACAACGAGTACACCTGATTCGCTCGTGCGTCAACGAAATCTTATTTGATATTCATTTTGTGCAGTCAAGAAAGCCTGGGTGACACCGAAGCTGCGGCGAGCTGCCTGAGCCGCCGAGGTGACCTGGCCTCTCTGGTCGTCGCTGGTTTACTGTACCACAGACTGGGCAGTCCCATGGCCGACGCCACGTTGCTCGAAGCTCTCAGAACTTCAGGCAAGTTTACTGCTGGCTTGAATTGAACAACACGACTAGCATGGAAGTCGCTTACAATCAGGCTAGTCTTACTGCTGGCTTGACTTGAACAACACGACTAGCCTGTAAGTCGTTTTCAATCAGGCTAGTCTTACTGCTGGCTTGACTTAAACAACACGACCAGCATTTAAGTCACTATCAGGCTAGTCTTACTGCTGGCTTGACTTAAAAACAAAACGACTAGCATGTAAGTCGCTTAAGTTTGATTTCATTAACGACGTCTCTTTGAGATGCTAACGCTGCTTCTTTCGAGCCAGCTTCAGTGGGCTGGACAACTGAGACCTTCCGCCTCTTGTGGATGATGACCTATTTTTGATTTGAGAAACTTTTGATAATTGAGACCTTCCACCTCTTTGGTGATGTTCAACATGACTTTCGGTGCGAGATAGCTAAATAGCTGAAGCGCTGTAAACATGTGACCACTAAACTAAACTCATTAACGCTTTACCATCAGTAATGGCTAAGAGGATGTAAGTGAAGTGGTCGCATGTTAGACAAAGTAATTCTGGTTCATTCTAATACAGAAAACGTCAGTGAGCTCACCACTGCGCGCTGTGATCGTGTCCATCGACTGGAATATTAAATACACTCCATTATAATTCCTAACTTTCTTGTTTGTGATGACTTGAATGCTGATGAAAATAAAACTGTTCAGAGAAAATAGGACACAAATATGAAGTTTCGTGAACTTTCAGTATTAACCAGTTAAGATTACCCTATGCGTTATCACTTTTTTTGGCAGTCTTCATCAATGCTTGGAAATAAGTTTATTTAATTTTAAGTGTTCTTCTTTTTCTGACGCAGGGTCCAAAGGTCAACTGGACCAAGTGCTGGACACAGTTCTAGCGGCAGCTCCCCAGTTCAAGGCAAGTGAAGAGGCTCTTGTAATTCATTTCATAGTTTATAATGTCTCCTCATTCACATAATTTCTAAACTACAACTGGAACATTGTTCCTTAAAGCTTTGAACTATTTTCCAAACGATTTTATTTTCATGTTCAACGAACTTATAATCGGAGTACCGAATTCACAAGATTTGACCGTGAAAATTTTTGTTGGAATGAGTTTGCTTTGGTAGGATACATTTAAATTTTATGCCTCTTTTCGTCAAGTGAAGCCACATACAAAGGTTGGACAAAATAAGGGAAACCCCAGATATTTTGATATCGGTATTTTTGAACATGTTATAGATAATGAAAACGTGACATATTTTCAAGTTTTATTGTTTAATGTTGCTGCTAATCGATATTTTATCCTTGCACAAATATTTTTATTAAATTATCGTTTCTATAAACTAACCTATAAATGGCAAACCTCTCTGACTTTGGAAAGAGGCCAAATTGTTTGTGACCGAATGACAGGTGCTAGTGTGACAGAAACTTCCCAAATGCCTGACGTTTCTAGAGGTAGTATTGTCTCAAAAGTAATGACTGCTTTTGAAAAGAGAAAAAAATGTAGTCAGCAAAGCACAGGTCTGAAAGTCAAAGTTGTTTGAGAGAGACCGTCGGTACCTTAATCTCATTGTGATGGTCAATCGAAAAACCTCGGCCGTTAAAATTACTGCAGATCTCAATGGACACCTACAGAACCCAGTTTCCATTAACACTGTTCGCCGAGTGCTGCACAGTTCAGGATTCTACGGAAGAGCTGCAATTAGAAAACCTCTACTTTCAAATACAAATGTTTCAAAGCGTTTAGAGTGGTTTATAAACCTCCAGAATTGGTCCCTGGAGTAGTGGAATAATGCGATTCTGTCTGACGAATCATCGTTTACCTTATTTCCAACCTCTGGCCGAGGTTGCGTTTGGAGAAAGCCAAAAATATTTGGAGAAAGCCAAAAGAAAGTCATTTAATCCCGAATGCATCCTCCAACCGTAAAACATGGCGAGAAATCTGTGATGATTTGGGGAGCTATTTCTTGAAAATTCGGCGGACCAATGATTTCTCTTGATGGAAGAATCAACAGCCGTGACTATTTAGGAATTTTGAAGGACCAAGCTTTTCCAATGGTTCAAGCACTGTTTCCGGAGGGGAACGCTATCTTTCAAGCTGATAATGCCCCGACCCATGCAGCTGGAATAGTTGAAATAATGGCACGGGGAACATTCTAATGAAGTTGAGCATCTCATTTGCCCACCACAATTTCCAGACCTTAATATTATTGAGCATTTATGGTCGATTTTAGAGAAACAAGTCAGAAGTCGATTCCCGCCGACATCGCCTTTAAAAGAGCTGGAGGGAGTTTTAAATGAAAAATGGTTTAAAATTATTTTGTAAACAATTAGCAATTTATATGATTCAATACCTCGGAGAAATGAGGCTGTAATTGCCGCAAAAAGTGAACCTACACTATACTGAAATATAGGTATTTTGTAGATTTCTCAGGGTTTTACCATATTTTTACTATCCCCCTGTAGTTACTGGAGCTTTTTATTTTCGCCTCATTGCATCCCAAGAACTTAAAAGTAACCAAATAACTCAAAAGCAATCCCAATGACTTAGAAAGAAAAGAAAACGACCAGTAAATTGACCAGATCTTCGTTGAAAACATTTCGGACATTAGCTGCATCATTTGTTCAAAAAAATTTACATAATACAATTAAAACCAGCAGTGAAATTCCAAATACACACGAAAGAGATTGAAACCTAAGCTTGAGAAAATGACAACGTAGCAAAGCTTCTTTCACTCGTACTTATTCCACACTGAACTTCATCAGGTCATAACCCCCATGTGATGATTGTCTAAGATGAAGTTTTTCAATGTGCAGTTTTTCTCGCTCATCGCCGCGACGGTTCGGGAATACTCGCACCTGCTGTCAACTGTCGCAGCCCGAGGAGCGAGCAGCGCCTTAATGAGCACCAAGCCCCTCGCCTCATCGCTCGCTCCTGCCGAAACTGTGGACGCTTCTCTCGACACAAAGTCAAGATCGCAGGTCGCGCCAACTGCACGTGAAACTCAGGCTGCGTCTGTCGATAGTTTCTTTGGAAATGAAGAGTCTAAGGTTCCTACTGCCGTAGAAGAAAGTGCAGAACAATCAAAGGAATTTGCAGCTGGAGGCCTGAACGTAGGTTCTGTTGGAACTCAAGAATTGGAAGGAGAGACTCAAGAATATCTCCGCGCCGACATTAATCGTTTATCTGGCGTTGGAGAGTTACTGGCGTCCTTGAAGGCCCCCAAAGTGCCGTACGCACACAAAATTTTCTTCGCTCACAATCAGGTACGTATTAAATTCCTCTCAAAATTTTCTCGTGAATTTAATGGAATGTTTTGGTTGCACACTCTCTCCGCAAGATTTTTTTGTCTTCACTTGGGTAGTTATTATGAATTTATTATCATCATATGACTGTTGCTAGTTCATTACTTATAATCCTAATGTAATTGTAGTCGGGAGCTGAGAGCGAGGAGTCGTTGCTTGAGCGCATCCTGCGTGTGTGGCTGGCGCAGTTCAGCGGCTCAGAGCTCACAGAGCTTCACGCAGCGCTCTGCTCTACACTCAACGTCTCTCTCAAGCCGTCATCACTGAAACAGGTGGTGCTTTGCAGCTACTACTTTCTATCTGGTTCAATTTATTTCCATTTGCCTATACTGCATTTCATTCCATACGTTATTAGAGAGCACTATTTTTGCGGTATCATTACTAGTGCACTATTTTTTGCAATTTTGGTTTACATGGCGACTTCACTTCAATGTCAATTTTGAACGAGCTACTCTTTTGATGCTACATTTCAAGTACTTCAAATGAATTTATCTTTCGATACTAAATTTTGCGTGTTACTTCAAATAAACGGCGCTTCCGATGCTGTATTTTCAAGGCCTGATTAAAAAAACAGCGCTCTGCAAGTTACATGTTTTTATTCCATTTCATAAAACATCTGTGTTGCGGCTGTATTCAAGTTTGAAATTTTCGACCGAAATGTTAACAGATACCAAATGTTTTCGTAAGAACGATAACTGGCATTGCCATTTGCAGTGTTACGTTCGTTGCGGCCATCTGAATATAATTTTGCCCGATGTCTGTTTTCCCTTCTAAAAATTCAACCATTGAAATTTAAGTCACCGTGAATTGATGTCAGAGTGCTTCTAGATTATTTTCATGCTGTTGAGTAAAGTTAAGTAACTATTCGTATTGGCCAATAATATTGGACGTGCAAATCTTGCGGTTTTTAGGACTATTCTATATGAATTGAGCATTACAACAGTGGCACGCAGAGCCGCGCATTCCTCTTAACTGGTTATGATTGGCTAGGCTAATCCTAGTGATGTGTTGTTGTAGCGTTAGTTGCTATACGTGAGAATCGCATCATTAACTTTGTTGATGCTGCAGCATTGGAATATGTTATTGATTATTTATTTCTAATCGTACACTGACGCTCTTTCTCAATTCACAGTATCAGTTCTTACTCGGAATCGAAGTCTCCAAACTGCTGCTACGACTCAGCGGGCACTCGTCCCTCACGACCGCTGACAACTCAACTGATGCCTCATCGTCGCCTGATATTGAGGCGGCCGCCGCTGCTTTGCAGTCGACGTTACAATTGGCAATTGACTGGGACAGATTTGATCAGATCTATGAGATTTCCCACATTCTCCTGCCCAAAGGTTCGTTATTGCCGTTTGTCCCGGATGGCATTGTTTTCTTGACTTCAGTTTCAGTTTGAAGAATTTGGTTCAGATTTACCTTGTTCTTGATTTGATGTGTAAATTATCTGTTCTTTTTATAGAGCGAAAAAGCTTATCACCACCTTTTTTTTTCGTTGTACTGCTGTTCATTCTACCTTCCTGCTCCATCAAAAATACATGCATCAATTTTACAGGAATCGAGACGCCACCTACGCTGCTGTCCCCGCTCCTGGGCTCAGGTGTGGACGGTGAAGCTCATCCGTCGTACTCGCTGCTCTGTAAACTGAACACTCTGACGGAGTACGTGCAGACAACGCGCCAACTTTACACTCCCTTCAAGTCTTGCGACTCCAAGACACCAGACGCTCTTGACTCTGACACCAACGCTGGCAAAAGGAATAGAACAGCTACTGATGATGGAGCTGTCACTGATGATGGAGCTGCCACTGATGATAGAGCTGCCACTGATGATGGAGCTGCCACTGATGATAGAGCTGCCACTGATGATGGAGCTGCCACTGATGAATCACCTCCAGCGCCTAGACAAGATGTCTTAATGGACTCAAGTTTACAAGACGTTGAAATGAAACTGAAGCAAGAAGGCGCCCTAGGAACCGAAGCCACTTCAATTGACGAGGAAATTCCCTATAAAAATCTTCCCAGCGCCGGCTCAGATGTTATGGTTGATGAAATGTTATTGTTAGCGCAAACGCTAGCAGAAAACTTCAGTGGTGGCGACGAAATTAAAAATAAGCGTGTTTTTGATAGCTTGTCTACCTTGCTATGCAAATTAGAGATTTAATAGAAGATCTATGCAAACAAGTTTTCTGTTACTTTTACTACATTTGGCCCTTGAGATGTCAAATCAAAATGGAAGGATTTTTTTTTCTTCGTCACTCGGGTTCCATTCATGTAATTTTGTCGCCCGCCATTCATTTTTATTTGTATTCCACTTATTCTATAGGATTCTTGTTTGAACTAAAGGAGATTTAATAAAATTTGTTCTCTGCTTTTTCTGATTTTATTTTCGATGGAGCAAACTCTCACAGACTTAGGAGCTTTCCTAGCCTCTCGACTCATTGGTATCCTTGGTATTTGTTTCGGACGTAGCAGTCCCAGGCCACGATGGATCGCCGCCTCGTGAGCAGGGCGGAGTTCTGTGGTGAGATTCCTTGTAACTTTTCCACTGAGTTGTTGCGTCCCATTGCTTGGAATTTTCAACGTAAAAATATAACCAAGTCATTCTCCACCTATTTCTAATTCTCTAATGGGTAATGATCCATACAACACGAGAAAATCAGATTTTATTCTTCCGATATGTAGACCGGTTACGGCACAAGTTGTGAGTTATCGTCACCGCCATTATCTGCGAACAATCAATTTCATCCGATGAGGGAATTTTTTATTTGTTCACATCGAGTGGTGAATTGAGATATCTATTTCAATTATTAGGTCTCTCTCTCCCAAGCATTCTGAGTGTTAGTTCTCATAGACATTTCATTTACAGAAATTTTCGATAAATCTCCGAATTCGCTTCCTGACAACAAATTTACGATTAATAATGATTTTGATTAATAATTACGATTTTGTAAAAATGATTACGAAAGAGAATTCTAACATGTTCAAATTTTCTTACAATTCACCTTCGGATGTTGATAAAGTATTCTTGATGAATTAATTTGAAATCGTAAATAAATCAATATTTTTGAATTTTCGAGTACTTTCACTTAGAAAACAACACTGCTCTCCTACAGCGCCTGGTTGTGCAAGGAGAAATAAGGGCGACTTTACAGAAAAATAATCAGTTAAAATTTTTTGAGAAACCGTCGCTGCATCATTAGAGGCAACGATGTAACAGAATGCTACTATGTAATAGTAACAAAAAATCTATCCTGGTTGTATTAACCTCGCTTCCTCTGTTCGTTAATGTTCATATCTGACGCTACTTTTTACACTCTCGATTCTCTATTCTTTTGTAACAATTTAACAAGACAATTTAGAAAATATCAACCTTAACTCTATACCTCCTCGATTGGACTAACACTCTCTCCCTGATTTAAACTTTCTCTAGCCCAACTGCCCAACCTTATATCCACTTCTGCACTTAAAAGAAACAACATCTCGTCCGGTAATTTTGTCCCGGAATTTTTTTCGCCGCTGCTTCCGCTTTCTTCCGAGCCTCCTTCCTCCTCGCCGCGAGAATCAACAGATTAAACTCGATTTCCATAAACGCCGCTGGACGAACGAACAAACGTTGGCACCGTCCCAGACTCCCGACACGAGCCAAACGTTTACAAAACTCTGCCCCAGATATGATGCGAGATCTTCCGTCTCTGTTCTCCGCGAGGCTTGAGAAACAACTTGCGGAAGAACCATTTATCTGCCGCAGACTTATAGCTCCTGTAATACGTGGAGCGCGCCATTTTTCCACACACAAAATTTTAACGATCTTCTTTCGAGTGAAAAATGTAATGAATCAATAAATAGGTTATTCTTTTTTTGTCGTGGGGTAATTTTTTACTAAGTTCATTTTGCTCCGTAATTCGGAATGATAAATTTGAGCAGCAAATAACTTGTTCGAAGTCTACGGTTTTTAATGCCGTGTTTCGTTTATTCAGGCAAATTGCTCGAAATACGGTCATTTCATTTTCGTGTCGGTAACTCGTTACGTACCCTTCATTTTTTTGCATTAATTGTTGTCTTTTGTTACTTAGTAGTTGTATTTTAGTGTATCTCTTAGTTTACCACGAGTGTTTTGAACAAATGTCACTTTCGATGTATTTTTCAATAAATTTCCAATAATAATAATGATCGTTGTAAAACAACGAATGATTAACATACACATACTCGGTGGTATTTTACTTTACCTAATTTATCTTACATTGAACAAGAACTTACGAGACACGCAGTCAACGAATAAAAAAATGTGGCTTTCTTGACATCCGGATGAATTTTGCCAAGTCATCACGGCCATAGCAATAGTTAATTGGTTCCCAAATTCCTGAAAAGTTTTTTTAAAACATTTCACGATTCTCTTAGGTCTTTTCTAATATTATTCAAAATTCTTTAACTAAATTTTATTTAGAAAAACTTTACAGATTATTTTATTTGTTTATAGTAGTAATCTTCATGCGCGTTCCGTGACGAATCAGCAACGCGCCTCTCTCAGCTGAACTCTGACTGTTGAGCTCTGATGGAAACTCACGCCGCCCCGCCATCATCTACACCTCACTGTATACCTCACCCCGCCCCGCCATCATCTACACCTCACTGTATACTCTCACCCCTCCCCACCATCATCTACACGTCACTGTATACTCTCTTCTACACCTCACTGTATACTCTCACCCCGCCCCGCCATCATCTACACCTCGCTGTATACTCTCACCCCGCCCCGCCATCATCTACACGCCACTGTATACTCTCACCCCGCCTCGCCATCATCTACACCTCACTGTATACTCCCACCCCGCCCCTCCATCATTGAACGGCTTATTTGTTTTGTTCTAATCCATTTTAGGCGTCATTCTATCGAGCAAATGCTGGTCAACTATAACTTCTATCGAGTTTACCAATAATACGAGGTTCGTATACAGAAAGTACAACTGATTTTACTACAACAACGATATTGATGTTCCATTGAAAATTTGAATTGTTCCAACTAACCTCGTTTATTTTCCAAACGTTAATGCATCATTTCTCACGCATCATATACCACGCTTGGCTCACGGCTGAATTTCTTGGTGGTGCTTGGATAGCTCAGTTAATTTAGACGATTTATTACAGCCCGTTGAATTGTCGGCACGAAAATATTTCATGCCAAGTCTTGTTTCATTTTTTCAAGCATTCAAATTGTAGAAAATTAGTTTTCGTTGTTCAATAAAAGTTTTTTTATTCAAGGTTCTCATTTATGTTGTTCTTTTTACTTGGCGTCGGTTTAATGTTACGAAGCTGTACGTCACTTTCACTAGCGTACTTCTTGTAGAATATGGCATACATAAAATTGACTTACTAGCAAATATGGCAACTATTGAATGACAGTGTTTGGCAATTGTGGACTGTTTGCTTCCTATATAGTATTTCTGAACAACCAAGTGACTACATAAATTTCATCTCGGTGTTTTGTTGATGACCTTGAAACAGTATGTCTATCATTTCAGAAAAATTGCAAAACTATTATGCATTTCCAATACTCGTAGTGCCACAATTCCCTACTTAGTATTGAAATTTTGTGAACTTATCGAAATATTCCGCCGGTTTTCGTTGGCTTGAAATTTAGCAACAAGGAAGGAATTTTTTGCAGATCTGCAAGTGAGAGCATGAGAGGAATCCTAGAGAGCGTTTAAGTTGACATACAATTGAATATTGAAATAAAAGTTGGAAGTTTTATCGTAAGAAGCAGCGTTTATGATTATACCAGGTATATCCATTCGTTAGCGTCGAGTTTAGTAAGTAAATTAGAAATAACTTAGTCCTGGGGTGAAGTTATAGGACAATGTCGTGAAGAGGTGACTACAAGAGAGGGGTAGAAGCCCAGGCGGCCACTGCTGATCGATGCTGGACGACAAGCTCTCGAGTTCAGTCAGCTCGAGGCGAGCATTGCGTGAGGTTTTGTGTGAAGTTTCCTCCTTAAAAACACAGCCCGAGGAGGCCTTTGCCATGGAGTGATCTCTGCTAAAAACTATCTTTGTGCCGTGACTCTCATAACACCCGAGCCCTTCGACTGCTGTGCTACAAGGTATTATCTATCGCCTGGCTGCAAATAGAGAATTAGTCCAAGTTGGGCTTCTCAGAGGTAGCGTTTGGTTTGGTCGGTCATCTTTAGAGATGTGACTTGCCTATGGATAGCATGCACCATGCAACCACCGTTATCTTCATCTTTTCACTACTTGATAATGTCCAAAATTTATGTCTTCGCTCTGTAAGGCTAAAAATCTCATATGCTAATTATTAGTTTTGGTAAAGTCAGGAATCTGATAGATGTCAATGCCGTTTTCTTTGGTCCAAATTCTTACGATATCACGTGGCATAACGAATGGTACATATTGTATATAGTATCTTCTCTTCCAGACAGGCAATAGGTACTTAGATTGCAAGTTAGCATTAATTAAGCATAAGACAGACATAGGGCGCTAAACAAGTAGGTAGCAATGATGTCTGCATGCTGCTACATGGCAGACATAGCACGCTAAACAAACAATGTAGCAATGATGTTTGCATGTTGCTCAGTTTGATCGCGAAATATCCCATCTTGACTAAAACGAAAGACAAAAGTAGCGTTCCTTTTTACTTTTAATAATTTTTTTAAGTTCTATAACAATTTTATAAAGAATAATCATTTAAATATATTTCAGGTTTTTTTCTGCTCACTTATGAGCAGGTATGTTTTGAGATATTCTGGGTTTGTGAACTTCCGATGGCTCATGTTAATTCCCAGTTTATAGTGGGAGGCAGCAAAAGGTGTAAGTGTATAACCATGAAATGTATTGTTTTCAATTTACCGGTTTGACGCAATTATTGAATTGTAACCAAATATTTCTAGTCGCTCATCATTTAGTCCAACCGCCAATTGTTGGAATCGCTGGAAAATGTTCGTTCGAATCAATTTATTATAAAAATTAACTCTCGAACAAGAAATTATTGATTCTAGTTCGATCGGTTCCATCCAATTTAAGTTCAGGCGAATTCTCAGCACCGACCCTTTACGCCATAACATTTCATATCTTATAGCGAGCCATAATAGAACATAGACACAGGAATACTATAGTTTTCCTTTATCAAGCAATATGCATGAGCCAAACTGAAGTAAACGCCAAATGTTTAACCTTAAGTTAGTACTTTTATAATTAGTCTACCTACATCTCAAGTTCACTAAGAACTTCAAGGAAAATAAAACGCCAAGTAAATTCATCTTCTGTTCACGAAAACGTTTCGGAGACCAGCTCCATCATCAGTTCAAAATATATCAGAGAATCGAAGCATAATCAGCAGTGAAAATCAAAATATATGACGAAAAAGATTACTACCTAAGTGACAAGAAATCGACAACTGAACATTACGACCTAACGATTTACAATTTCTAGAGGATAAGAACTGTACGCGTTATTGAGTATATTTTATTTACCTTTAGTGTCATCAACTTTGAAGTCTTCGTGTATCGTGGAGCGAGCCTACAAATCCTGTGCGTTTTATCAAATTTGAATAAGAAAATTTTGATTACGGGATACTGCATTTTGTGTTCGGACTTGCGACTGAGTTGTTGTCAAGGCACATATTAAGTTCTTAAATTTGTAGTATTGCCTCCAGTGAATATTTGTAATGCTAGTTTTTTTGAGAGTTTCGTGTAATTTTACTTAGAATGTTTAGTTTTGCCTTGAAAGGAATTTGATATTATGATGCGTTTGGCAAGAGCCCTTTAATTCATGGCGCACCTTATTGATTGAATAAAATGTATCTAACGTTTAATTAATTCATTCAGAATTCTTTGTTCGCCTTCATTCCAAGCACTGAAACATTTGGCTCAGTCCTGCCTATTATGTACGCACCACAAATTTTGTTCATGACCACACATCACCGGCCATAATTAGTCAAATTATAGCCTCCATAATGATTTACTATCAAATATTCAGCTCTGCGGCTTGCAAGCCTTCATCATCTTGGGTTCTATCAAAATGCCCGGTAGAGTTTTCGTAAAATATTAACTCATGGCTACATCGATCAACCTGATTTATCGGAAGAAATGGAAATGAGTGTATATATATTTGGCGGTGTTATTCGAGTAAGTTTAAAAAATAAAATTTAAACAAAAGCGAAAATTGTCGTTTTTCTTGATCAGATTTTCAAAAATTTTGTTCCACCTAACTTGATTCCATGTCTGCTATCAAACTTCGACCTACCTTTCGAGCTTCCTTTCAATTATTCATCCCTACTTTTAGTCTTTTTCTTCTCGCTGAACAATCAGACAAGATCCACATTCGAACTGAAATATCATTTACTTTTAAGGGATCTGCACTGTTTGTTTCTTCTGGGTGGCCAGGCCTTTTTCTCTATATTCTCTTGCAAGTTTAGAGCGCAGCGTTTATACGTCTCCTCTTTTATGAAATCGACTGCAATCAATACACGGCAAGCCCGTAGAAAATGCAGTGAATATGCAATTTAGGCATTGAAAGCTACCGACGTACGTGTTGGCACCGAGCGTCTCAACGTGTTAGCACCGAGCGTCTCAACGTGTTAGCACAGAGCTTCTCAACGTGCTAGCACCGAGCGTCTCAACGTGTTAGCACCGAGCGTCTCAACGTGTTAGCACCGAGCTTCTCAACGTGTTAGCACCGAGCTGTAACTCTGTATTTCACTAGCATATTCTTCATACAGACGACGAGTTTGTTGTCTACTGGCATAAAGGATCCCATACAAATGCGGTGATGAACTACGCTCCTCTGTGAAGGTATAAGACCGTCGCGCTCGCGTACATTTCTTCAATGCAAAATCTTCCGTTTCCATTGAACTTTATGCAGTATACAAACTTTTTCGTTGCCTATCCTTAGTTTTATCTACTTTTGTTCGGTCACTGTCAGCAAATTTTATTCTTTTATATTGGCTCCATTAAATGAATTTAATAGTCCATTAAATTCATTTAATAATTGGGTCCATTTTATGAATCACTCAATCGTTCACTGATTACATTTCCGCCTCTAGAAATCAAGTACAAATCTAAAATCAACAGAGTACCTGAAATCCTATAATTCCCTTAACTTGAATGATTTTTTAAAATATAAATTTTTGCTTACCAGTATGCATTGTTAAATAAAAAATTAATTACACCTATGTTGCTGCCGTGAATATAACCTTCATAACTGCATTTCGTTGGTATCGCGTCAAGTCAAGACCATCAGTTCCAGCCATCTCGGCATTGAGCGAATTTAAGGATGGGGCGAACTTTAGGGTTAACTCGAATGAAGAAAGAATGGAGAATAAACGGACTGGACCAACCGAATTTTATTGACTAACTGATGGCAGCGGCAGATAAGTAATACGTAATGTGTTATGAATACTGAAATGATAATAATAATACCTTTGTCAACATAAGGAACTGACAAAAGGTAAATCTGCTAATAGTCTTTGTTAAAGAAAAAATAGTACAATATAACAGTTATTCATATAATTAGAAATAAACCAATTAGAAAGACCTAAAGCTTAACTAACCTGTTGGTTAGTTAAACCACATTAGAGGAAAAGGTACAAGATATTCGAAAAAAACGACTCATAAATTTGTGTACACTACAGAAGTACTTCTAATTCTTCTCCGCCATTAAGATCGCGTTTCACCAGAAAGCATTTGCACACTGCAGTACCACGGCCAGTGCAGGTGCTATCCCCGCCATGAATGTCTCATTATTTTTAAGACGTTGCAGTGGACTCGCGTGTTTATCTTTATTTTGGACGTTGCAGTGAGCTATAGAGTGTTTATCTTTATTTTGGACGTTGCAGTGAGCTATAGAGTGTTTATCTTTATTTTGGACGTTGCAGTGAGCTATAGAGCTGTCTCTTATACACATCTAGATGTGTATAAGAGACAGGTTATCACTATTTTGGACGTTGCAGTGAGCTAGCGTATTTATCACTATTTTGGACGTTGCAGTGAGCTAGCGTATTTATCACTATTTCGGACGTTGCAGTGAGCTAGCGTATTTATCACTATTTTGGACGTTGCAGTGAGCTAGCGTATTTATCACTATTTTGGACGTTGCAGTGAGCTAGCGTGTTTATCTAAAGCGTCTGGTCGATATCTGACCCGTCCGTCTCGTGCCTCCTGTACCATGCAGTCCTGCTCGTCCTATGCTGTGTCTTGCTTCCGTGCCAATACCTTATGCAAAATTTAGAAGTTGATAGTTCATTGATGGACGATACACTCTTATTTTTTTCTTGCTAAAGTTTAACTCTTGATTTCAAAGTATCCAACTCACCAATGATGAAGTTTGACTTTCATAGTTCGGAATTTCAGCGACAACGTATTTCATCCTTCATAGCTTTCACATCCGACGTTACTAATTTACATCTTTATCAACTTCGCCGTTTGATCGATATCGTGGCAAAGATGATCTGTACCGCAGAAGTCTTGCTGTTAGAAGAAGTAACATTCGCTTCGGTGCAAGAAGCCATGTAGCTGCTGAGGCCTCTGTTTGCTTCCTTCTATGTTCACATGATGAAGACACGATTGAAAACATAAAACTGACGACAAATGGTTCCTATATATAGTGTAGGATGCACAAGCTAATGAGCTTAAAAAAAGCTGTAAAAGGTACAAAATACTTGTAATTATAAAACAACATTATCATATATTATCATGCGATGAGCATTCCACTAAATGAAGCGCATCACATTCTTCCTAAACCTCTACAGCAGTTTTGCCTGACTTGCTGAGCAGGCGAATGCTGGCGATTTTTCGCCTTTGACTCTCCCGTTAGTATGACGAAGAATTCATAATTTGACCTTTCCAGTTGCTGGTCGTTCGAATGATCTCAAATCAAATTTATTTTGGTCACCGGTTCGTTTTTAAATAGTCCTCCCCATCTCATTTATAGTCGCGCCTGATATTTCCTCGCAAATATCAGACAATCTTCTCGAGCAATCGTTGCTTCCGGGTTTCGCTCAAATGAACAAGCAATACAAATTGTTTGTTAGTATAGGAGTTATTTATTTTTCCACGAGAACATAGCTACACGGCATGCTGTTGACTGGGTTATAAATAATACTTTTTTTTATTAAAAATTCCACATAAAATTTAGTTACTCTGCATGCTTTCAATGTATTATAAATTCAATTTTACTTTGGGTTGAAAGAATTTCCTGCAATTGTTTAGTAGAAATGCAGAAGGCTGCTCTGTTCATCTCTCGGCGACCCAATCGAAGAGATACACTGACATTTCAAGCTTCAATTCATTCTTCCGCAGCTGCGCACTTGGTGACTGAGATTGACAATTTCAATGAAATTCTTCGTCCTCAAATGAAAAGGCTGGAAGTTCGATACTACTAGAAATGTAACCGAGAATCAACGTAACTTGTCTGGAAGTTCCTTCTGAAAGTTATTTTTTATTATTCAATGATTAATTTGTTATTTAAACCTAATACCAGTTTTCTTCGTGATTTTCCATGAAACAGCGGACTGATTGGTCTCGTGAACAAATAACTGTTTTTAAGTACCAAGCTCAAAGTTATTGATTGATCCCTCAGGTTCGAATTGGAAAGGAGTTTTAAAGTAAATATTTTGTAAAGCTAAAGAATTATTTTATCAATCAAATCAGTTACTCTGATGTTACACCACTGCGGTCAATTTAAATTTCGCGTGCAGGTAAAATGTAAACTCCACGTTGGAAATTAAGATTTATTAAATTAACCTTTTGCACTACTTTTTAGGTTGAGAAGCATTCTGTCCTAGTGTATAACTAAAAGCTCGGTTATCACTATCCATGAACTAGAAAGAAAATTCACTGTTTTCAACTGCTACCGTACGCACTAGATATATTCTACAACACAAAAATTGGAACGATATCCATCTTCTATTTATCTGATTACTTCAAGCAATTGAAGACCTGCCAAATTCGCAGCATACATTCCAGAATAAGTGTAAAGTATCGATAAATTTTAACTTTTTTTCGACAACGATCATCAATCCTCCATAAATAGGAAACAAGGGAAATAATGAATGTAGATTTGACAAAAATTTATTGTAAATATGATTTAGTTTAGTTAGGTTCAACTGAGCTTTGTTACTTTATAAATAAGTGTTAATTATGCTGCAAAATCTCGTACAAGTTGTGAATAAGTATGTTTTTTAACATAAAATCTACATACCGTTAAAATCTACATCTATATCGCTAAAAGAGTTAGGAATTGAACTCTTTGCTCTTACATCTGAATGTTCCTCAGACTTGCCCTCACTGTTAACAAAGTACAAGCTGGCTCAACGGCTATTCCGTACTTTCGACTGTTTCTTGCGACTGTAGAAAGAAAGTTCTATGCATAGCTTTTTTCAGGTTTTCGTGATAGATGCAAAACACTTCACACGTAGCAATTGTATTTGTTTCATTATTTTCAGCGAAAAAAGTTCCAAGTCAACGCAATTTCTTGTATTGACTTGGACTCTTCCAACTAAAGAACGCGGAAGTGAGGGGCGTCGGACAGCAGAATGGCAGGGGCTGGGCTTGTCGATTGTACCAGGAGCTGCTTCTCCATTGTAGGACATCTCACTTGGTCCATTGTAGGTCATGCCACTTGGTCCATTGTAGGTCATGCCACTTGGTCCATTGTAGGACATGTCACTTGGTCCATTGTAGGACATGTCACTTGGTCCAGTGTAGGACATGTCACTTGGTCCATTGTAGGACATGCCACTTGGTCCATTGTAGGACATCTCACTTGGTCCATTGTAGGACATGCCACTTGGTCCATTGTAGGTCGTGGCACATGGCGACAGCTTTGTCCGGCCCCTCCCATGCACTCTATGGCGCAGTATGGCTCACCAGCGTGACCAACAAGGACTGCTTCATTTTTATTCTATTAGCCCTGCGACCGTATTTAAAGACACAATAACTCATAAAAGCTTTGAATTTGCCTTCGTAAATCAAATTCTGGACAAATTTTGGACTTTAAGGCGGTTTATTCGAGCCACTCACTTTACTCCTTTTTATTCTTCAAACTTTTAAATACAAGTCAGTGCGACTTCTCGCTGGGAATCTAGTACCTGTTTCATTACATGTTCGTTTTAACACATGCTTGTCTTAACGAGCGCAGCTGTGCCTAATGTAATGTGGGTACTCTATTATCATTAATGAGTACTATAGTAATATATTATCATATATTATTAATGTAAGGTACCTACTCCTTAACTAGCGCAGCTGTCGGTACTCTATTATCTCATTCATTTTACCATGATACGCAGTGTTAAACCCTTTTCTGTAATCAAACTTTAATCCTGGTCAGTACTACTTGTATTGAAGGGCTTGGTAACGTAAGTTATCGTCATTGTACAAAGCGTTGAAGATGTAAGACAGAATAGACGTCTATATTATGTCGCTTGCCTATATGGCATGGTAGAGGTTGGCCCCTTATCTCTAACATATTGATCAAGTCTACGCAGTCAATATCGCTCGAACACTTGGTCACTTCCAGCATCGAAAAGGCGAATCTCTGACTGCTCTCATCATGCTGATACCGTTACAAAACTTGATACATTATTGTTACGAAAACTTTGGTTGTTGCCCGTACTTTTTTGTACGATATTAAATATTTTCAGTTAGTAGTTAAACAATCGCTCTATTTATTTTCATATGTAACAAAATAATATAGTCTAGTACAATTTGCTCCAGGAAAATTCAATCAGAAAGTTCGGGGTAAAATTTATTCCTAATCGTGGAACCAGCTAACAGCCAGGCTTTTGTTACTTG